AGACACCTGTCTTTCAAACCAAGACACTTACCAAATGTTTTGTACAGATCATCACCTACTACAGACTGATCCTGCTGTTCCCTGAAAGTATAAGAAGTGGCTGCAATTACAGATGCAGAAAACACAAAATGCAACTGGGGAGGCTTCCTTTGTGAAGCTTCCAAGAAATCATATAGAAAGCTGTAACAGATGCTCCTTCTCAGCTAACAATTTATGTCAAGCCTTGTATAAAAGCACCCTAAAAAAATATATATGGTAAATGAAAACTGCATCCTAGTTTGCTAAACACTTACTACGAAGTTCCTCTGTCTGCTTTCTTCCAAAAAGCAGATAGAGAAGAAATGCAAAACAGCTCAGACTGTAAATGAATTACTTGTTTGAAGTCTCGAACCCACAGAAGTGGTGAAGGAGTGGTTGTTGCACAAATTCCTTTTTTAGCCAACAATTCTGTACGGACTTCTTGGGGACTATGCATCTCAAAGACTGCACACTCTCCTAATACATTTTATAGCTTTTAAGCCACTAGCTTTGATCCAAAGCAGAGCTTATGAACAGCTAACATCCTTATGAAGCTCTGTCTGGACAATTGCTGGAAGCCTCCCCTCCTTTTCTGGTAGACAGGAGTCAACATAGGAAAGATATCGCTCCCCTACCCACAGCACTCCATGAAGAACAAAAGATCTGTGACCCCTCAAAGGGACCCCTTTACCAGCCAGAGGCAGAACAGCAGCAGAGAAGCACACAGCTGGGGACTAGGGGCACAGCTCAGCTCCTTTTGGCCAGGCAGACCTTGTTCTCCTTCCTTGTTGCCATCAACTGTGAGGAAACAGTCAAGGAACCACGGCCTTGGGTAAGACCGGAGGAACACCACCACCACCACGCTCAGCATCTCCAGCCACTTGCCAGGCTGCATGCACATCTCAGCACCTCTGTCCATGAGTGGATGTGTTCGCATCAGACGCTGGGAGCAGCGCAGGAGATGACAGCTTGTGCTTCTCTGGAATGGCGTTAGGCATCACAAACTCAGCCAGAAATGATGCCTTTCTGGCTTAACTGCCACGAGTGTTGGCTTGCAGCAATAACGTGTCATGTAAATCCAAACAGAGAAAGCAGCACTATAAAATGAACCTCTGGGGCCAGGGAGACCAATTTCCCGATTCATCCCTGCTCCACTTTCTCTGCTAGCCATGCATGAAGGGCATTCCAAGAAATACTTCTTGCAACCTGTGGCAGTTGTGCCATTCAATTCTCAGTTTTTCTCTAAGTAACAATGCTTGGACAGAGCACAAACAAGACCAAGCTGAGAAAACTTTCCTTCCACGATACCAATGCTGCGATGGGATTTGGTCTCAGAGGCACAGCGCTGCTGTGCAGCCACACGTGCAAGCACTCAGAAGCTTGAGACAAGCACTGAGGGCAGCTGCTGCCTGCTTGTACAAAACATGAAATACTCAATGGAGGCATCTGCAGGTTCAGTGCTGCCCACTTTGTTCCCGTTTAAGTAACTACTCCAATATATTTTCAGAAAGGCAAATCTCATTTTCATACTGATAACTGGCCCTAACAAAAACTGCTGCCTAGTTGAAAATACATATTACAAATCCCAAGGCCCAGAAACAGAACATGGCACCTCTCTATAGCATTTGCTAGGACATGTTTTCCAGCAAACAGAGGTGTTTCGCTCCAGCTATGAGGAGTTAAACCCTTCCATTAGCGATCTGGAGCTTTTCTTTGGTTCTGTACCGAGTACCCTGCTTCAGTCCCACAGTGCATAGTACAGTCTTGATTTATTGGGGATAGCTTTTAACAGAAATCCGTCAGCACTAGAACAGGAAAACTTTCTTCATTCAGTACACATCACGAGGCTGCAAGCAATTGTACTCAGTACCCTGATCTCCACAAGACCGTGTCCCTGGGGTTGGTGATCTCCTCTCCTGAAAGGCTGGGACTGAAATGGGTTTCTTTTTCTAACTTCACACAAGCTTTCTGGCTGTGTCATCACATGCAGAGACATCTTTTAGCAGGTAAAATACATATGACCATAAAACAATAAAAGGTTTCCATACAGGAAAACTCTTCTCACTCCTTTTCTTGCACTTAAACAATAAAAATAATGAAGTCTAAACTTGTACATGTAGCGTCTGATATGAAGCCCAAAAATCACAGGGAACAGACAGAGAAACAACACTTAAAAACTACTCACAGAAACTAGCAGGACTGTAGGTGTTCTGCACACTCGATAATCAATTATTTTCTAAAATTATTTTCTAATTATTATTCTTTAGTGTTAGTCCATGTATTAATTTAGTCACAGAATTTCAAGCACCTAGGCATGAAAATATGGTCCAGAACCCAACCTTTCTGTGATTTTACTTGCAGTAAATATCACTGTGATATTTACTAGAAAACTATGAACCAAGGAAAGATGTACAGTTTTATCTCCACTGTCCTTATACTCAATTTATTTTCAAGGCAAAACCCTTGACCTTTCCTGGCTGGACACTCCGCTCTAGAATCCTTGATGTGTGTTTATGGAGGAAAAAAGAAAAAAAATAAAAAATAAATCTGACAAATTAGGTCAGACTCTTTGCCAACCGCATATAGGGCTGACAGGCAAAGACAGACTGCGTACTAGCTTATAATTCAAAGCACATAATTGTGACATATATTTGATTAATAGTTAAGTTTTTAAAGACAATCAGGAATTTTTTAATGTAATTGAATAATTACAAGCCCTATTCCCTGAAAATACTGAGCAAAGGGAGAGTGAGCAGGGAAAAAAGTCCAATATTGTGTTATTTGCTAGTATTTATGGAAAGATTATGAGGCGGCACTACGTGAGGGACCCTCCTAAACTGCTTCCAGCCATGCAGACGAGCATTTTGGGGACACGGCAAAGTACAGAACACCGTACCTGAGCTGAGCCTCCCGCTGAGCACCCTGGCACGTTCACAAAGATTTCCCCTGCCTGAGGCCCAGAATGAGGCAAAGGAGGGTCCTGCTCTGAACTGCCTCCTGGATGAGCATAAATAGGTGCCTTGACACAGCGCCTCCTCTCTTGCTCTTCCATCCACAGAAAGGGAGCCCACAGAGATCACCCTCACTTCGCTACACAAAGCTGGCACAAAAACCACCTGGGTCACCTGCTGCTGACAAGCTAGAAGCAGAGACGGTGGGGCATGGATGAGCTGACCTCAAACTGAACTCAGCTTATTTTAAATCCCCCCTTTGACAATCCCCTTCCAGGAAAGCTGGCGCAAGGTGCCTAAGGGGAAACACTACAGGGCTCACTTCAAGGCACATGGCAACAAAACTTCCACGCTGGGGTAAGCTGAGTGTCATCCTTTACCCCTGGGTCGATGAGTCCCTTTGTGTTCTTCCAGCACCTAGCACTGACCCTTACTTACCAGACACTCGATCGACACTATACATCCTCTCCAGCCTTTTTCTGTGCCACCCAGTGTCACTGGATTGATGCTGCTCCAGGTCAAAGGAATGCTGGGAAGGGGCAGCCAGCCGGGTGCAGTTTGGGCACTCCTTGGAGCCCTGCCGGCTGCCGGGCCAGCCCTTGCAATGCCTGCTAACGCCGTGAGAGCTGCCCGCGCTGTGCACTTGGTGGCCGTGGTGGCATTCCTCTTGGGCAGCCCCCTTCATCACCACCAGTTCCATACTTTCATTCTCATGGTCCGACAGCATCGGCCTCTCGCCGGAGATCGTGTAGACTCGTGGCTTCGGTCCCTCGCTTGGCATCTTCTCTGCCTGCTCCTCGGAGAAACTCCTCTCAAACTTGCCGTCGGAGATGACGGAGAGCCTGCGCTTGTTCTGTGCCGCCTGCTGCATCTCAGGGGAGTCCTCCTGTCCGACGTAGGAGTCTGCTAACAGGTGATCTGAAACAAATGGCACACTTCCCTTAAAACCAAAGCACCCCAGACACCGACAAACTCAGGAGGGGAAGGGGGAGAGAGATATGGTGGGTTCCTCCAGGAAGGAACCTTTTCAGAAGAACATGTGCCCATAGCCTTCTAAACCTCCAGAGCTGGTACTGAAATGAGAGACATTCCTCACAAATACACCCAATATTTTAAGCACACGTGGCCACCAAACAAGGCTAGAAGCAAATGTAGGTCTCATTGCACAGTCTGAAAACGCTTACGTGCAAAACAGCCCCTGTTCAGCTGCGCAGTCCTGTCTGCGTCAGCAGGTTTGGCCACACAAGGGCTACTGAGCTGGTTAAAGTCTGCAGGACAAGGACCAGCACCAACTTCTCTAACAAGTGACAAACTCTGCGTGTTTTGTGCACCAAGTTGCTATTTTTTAGAACTAAAGGAAAGGAGCAAACTACCAGGGTTTGGTGTCCCGCCCCCCTCCTCCCCCGATTTTCTGCCAATTGGTTTGACGTGAAAGAACTACAAAAAGCCTTCAGCCGACAGCTGTAACACAGGGTCCCTCTCTCTGCAGCACCCCTGGTGAGCAGGTCTCGTCGTGTGGGCAGATGGTGACAGCACGGGCTGCAGAAGCTGTCCTGAAGGAAAATACAGCCGCTCCCTTTCTAGGGTAGGAAGATCGAAAGGAGAGAGGCCCATGAGTGCAACTATCTTTGGAGCCCACACACTGGATGAAGTGCCAGGAAATCTCAGCATTTCCATGGCAATTCCGTGCATGAACCCAACAGTAGCTCCCACCCACCTGCTAATCCTTTTTTTCAAGTGGCTGTTAATTACCTCTTACACTTCCCTTCAGATGGGAAACAGCTAGGGGACTGTTAAAAAGGCTCAGCAGGGAATGCATTATTCATGTGACTACTACCCCAGAAAAAAGAAAATCATTAGTGTCCAGCACAGACAGCAGCATTTTAAACAGGGCAGAAAGCAAACCCAAGCCTTTACTTCATTAGATATTTAATGAACATCTTTCCTTTAGCTATTGAGTAATGACCTGGAAGAACTCTGCAACAATCTGAGGCTTGGCTACCTTGCTTGGCCACAAAGAGGTGAAGGAGGAAAAGCCCTATCTCAGGGCAAGTCTGATGTGCGTGCACAACGTGGACCTGTCACTGCTGCCACATTCTGCTTCCTATGAAGTGCTCTTGTGCGTGTCTGAGAAGAGCCCTCCCAAGCTGAGCACGTACACTTTCAGCTTTGGAATCTGAAGCCCATCCTGGACTGTGCTCACGTTGCCCAGGGCCTCTCCTCCAGCTCTGTTTGCAACCAAGACTGAACCAAATTGAGCTGGTACTGGTACAGGGTGTCACCCTTAGCTCATTTTTCTGCTTGAGATACAGCTTCCTCCAGCACCACTAGCAGATAAACACGTCTCTGGCCACTCTAATCAAGAAGTGACTGTCAGGACTGTTCAGGCTGACACAACTCAGGTTTGTTTCACTTGTCTCCTCGTGAGACCTCACAGTCTCTGGATACTGTAGCTGGCAGCTGTGTGACTCCTTGAGCGGACCAGGAGGAGCCGCCTGTAGAGTCCTCAAGGAAGAGCTATGCCTCTTGGATCTAGAGCTGATGCTGTCTTGCCAGCCTTCACATGAAGCCCAAACACGTACCTAGCTAGTGAGGAGTCACGCAGCTCACTGACACTGTCTAGGTAAAACATGAAAGGCTGGCAGTGGTCTACTTCACCCATCGTCTCCTGCACAGAGACAGCATGGACATCTGCACCTCCTCCAGGAGGACAGCCTGATGGACAACAAGGGCCATCACCAGAACAATTGCAAGCCATCCAAGTAGAAGAAGCTGCTCCACCAGCTGTCCTTCAACAGCTTGTCCACAGAGTCCTACCAGCTGCCGGATACAGTGTCATGGACCAACCAGTGCAGAAAGTGTTCACTCCAAAGTTTCTCCAACCACTTGTCACCCCTCAAGAGGCAGCAGGCCATCACATTTGTGCTCCAGCAACTCAGACCCTCTCCAGTTCCAAAACTGTGCTCTAGAGTAGGCATGTCTTGGGAAAACACCACCAAATGACTCTTCAAGATCTGCCAAGATCTGTGCTGGCTAATAGTGCCAAGTACGCCATTTTTTAAATTAAAAACAAAGGCCAGTTCTAAGTACTCGTCTCAACTTGTCAAACTTACTAATCTGTGTGGGCACAATGATGCTACATATTTCTTAAGACACGACAAAATAGTGGCTGACAGCTGCCCCTGTTCCTCCTGAAATGAGTACTTCTATGGAAGACACAGAGCCTCATTAGAGCAAACACACAGAATCGTGTACCTTTACTCACGTACAGACAACACCACAATTCAGAGATTCAGGAATTTCTGAACTCTGGTAACAGTGGGTAAATGGAAAAAATGAAGCACCCAAAGTATAGCATGTCTGAAAATGCTGGTGATCACACGTGCAGAGAGACCGATACCAGTCTCTGTTTTATAAACACCAAGGTCTGTTCAGCCCCATAAAATTTACAGACATGTAAGTGGGACATGATTGGTTTCAAGTAAGAGTCATTTTTTTACTGAAATAATTGCAGGGTTACAATTCTTGACTGGATATTTTTGACATAAACTACCTGTCTGATCAAGCATGCAAAATGTGAGGACAATCCTTCCTTCCTACCTTACCTGTCCCTGATTCAAGGCGTGTTCACTTGTACTTACCTAGGAGTTTTCATGGTCTACACTATGAAGGCCTGCCACCACACCAATATGCTTTCTCTCTGTCAAACTATCGGATAATTATTTCTTTCCATTCAATTTAGCACCTTTAGTAACTGCACATTGGAGAAGCAAATTCATATGCAAAGGGGATGTGAAGCTTTATTCAAAACTTCTAGTTAATAAAGAATTTACCTACAGAAAAAAAATCAGTACAGAAGGAAGAGACTCAAACATCCATCATAATGAATCACTGGCTTCTACAAACAAATCTGTCCAATTTCAGGGAGCAAGTCTATGCTAGTATTCACACACACGTGTTCACATACACCAGCAGCCCCGAGACATTACCAGTGACTGGTTCCTTCGTCTGTGCTTGCAGTAACCCGGATTCAGGTGCCAAAGCACTGCACCTGCCTCCACTATGGCATTTTAGGTTAATAGTTGCTTCTGCTAAGAAAGAAGCCAAGCTGGACCAGAAATCAATGCTGAATTAAATCTGAGCCACATCACTGTTCAGTGAAGAGACCTGAGAACCAGTAACTGAAACAGGGGACTTCAGCAGTAACTGGAATTGCCCTCTAAGAGCCAGCTGAAGCAGACTGCTGTTAACACCCTCTGCCTGGTTACTGCTGCTCCGTTTCATTTCATTTTCACATTGCTCTTGTCACCTCTCCCACAACCAGCTGCTCCATCAAACTGCCACACCAGCCCAGGGCAGCGTGACTCGGGAAGCCTGGCACAGTGCCCTCATCTTCAGCCACTCCGACAAAGCTGACCTGACAACTCTGCTCTCCCACTTCTTTCATCAGCAACACCTTTGTCTCACACAGCTGCACAGCTGCCTTGGAGCAGACAAATTGGGTTCCTCAGACGGATTTCTTTTCATGAGGATTTCTTTTCATCTAGATTTGTGCTCTACATGGATTTATTGTGCCCAAGAAATCTAACAGTAAGATGAAGGGAAGAGGACCAACATGCTTGACCTGTAGACCACATGTCTATTGGTAACAGAAACACACAAACCATGTTTTCATCACTTTCCTGTCTACCTGGGCTAAGTCTAACAGACTGTCCAGAGCGTGGGGGCTCGACAATCCAGCCCCAGGGGCCAACCCACTTCTCACCCCCTTGTTATTTACTTGAACGCATCTCTTCGGCTTCACTTGCTCCTCTGATATTTTTTTCTTCATCTTCCACGCAGCACCACCCACCACAGTCATTAGGACATGCCTATCACCAAAGACATGACCACCACCAGCAGTGATAATCTGTACTGGTTAATTTGCGGTATCTTGGGAAAGAAAGAATCCACATTCTCGGTACATGTAGTTCCTGAAAATTAGGCACTTACTACTATTAGATACTTAAAATACATCCTTCTTCATTCCCTAATTCTAACTTGAGCACTTGCTCTGACTCAGGTAACTAACCACGAAAAGACTTTCACATTTTCTTTCAGGGTTCTCGAGAGGAGGTAACAGGCTGGGATAAGCCTCAGCTGACTGATGCCCCATTCACAGCAGTGGAGGCACTCGCCAAGCCAAACTCGTATCTGATGCAGACTGCCTTGTAACCCCATGGGATGAGAAGTTTATAAATCAAGGCAGAATATAGCCACAAGGCATAGACAGAAGCTTAAAAAAAGAAAGTCCCAAATTTATTACTGTATTTAGCAGCCAAACTGATGATTAAAGCACCTTAGATTTAAAACCTCAGCTCCAGCATCAGAAGTGAAGTGGCAAAGGGGAATCCAGATAAACCCTACTAAAAAACCATCTGTCATCTCAGAAAAATAAATTTCAAGGAAACAGTTCTCTCTTCCCTTCTCTGTCTGAGCTGGACCTGCTGTTTATGGTACCAACTTTAAATGAAAGAACTGTCTCAGCCACTGAAGATGAACAGAAAGATTTTAGGTTTACATTACACGGACTTACAGCATTGTTCGTCATAGGAGGAATGAAGGTAATGCTTTTTTCATTTTACAGCAGTAGGAGTTCAGGGGATACCCTCAGAGAGAAGAGCCAGAGCCCAGAGCATTGCACAAAGAGTAGCATCTTTCCAGACAGCACAGCTGAGCAGTTTCTCTCGCAATTTCAGTTCTGAGACCTCCCGTACGCCCGCCACTGCCCCTCAGGCGGGCTAAGAGGCTGTCGGGTCCTGTTCTCTGTTCCCTCTCTGAGCGTGCACTGGAGCCACAATGCAAAGCTCCCTACCATGTCAGTTCTGTCCTTCCCAACGCTACCACAACATGACCCTGCCAGCACAGGGCTCCTGCCT